ACAAAGACCAGTGCTTGCAAAGGATTATACAGTTTCTAGTTGTGTGAATAAGCACAAATAAAAAAGGATGATCACTGGCAAGGGATTTTCGTTCATCTTTCATCAGTGACTTAGGTTCTATAATTTTCCATCAATTTTTATTCTCTCAGAATTGTAAAAATTCCACTCACTCATGAGCTGATAAGTAAGCTTACTGTTTATCAGTGCAGTATGTGGATAGGTTAACCATTTAATGCCGGTCTGAGCAGTGTGGTAATGTAGATATTTAGAAATGCGGATGAAGCCACTACACTGTTGGATTTTAGGGCTGACTGTGTGCACATATGAACATGAGCCAGTGGAGAGAGGAATTCAGTGCTCTGCCTTTCAGGACTGATCAGTATTGTTTGCCCTTTGGTCCATTCTTTTTTTTTTATTAGTTTCATGTAATAGTTGGACATTTCACCCCTCACAAAGTGACAACCCTCCTCCCCCAATCTATTATCCCTCTGACATCGTACATAGCTGTTGCAATTCCATTGACTCTATTCCCTATGCTGTACTCCATATCCTGTGACTAAATTATAGTTGACATTCATTATTACTCAGCTTCAGCTTCAGGTGTACACTGCAGTGGTCTCCCTAAGAAGTGGTCTCCCTAATAAGGCAAGTGTCCATTCTTTGTGCTTGTCCTGCTTTGCTCTGTATCAAATGAGGCTGACCTCTGCAAGTTGTTAGCCAGGATCCTGTTTCATGGGCCTCTAGCTGGGTTTGGCCAATCAGAGATTGGGGGTGGGAAGAGGGGAGAAGCTGGGCTATTGCTCATCTTCCATCTCTGGCAGTGTTTTTATCTCTTTCTTGGCTCCAGTTTCTAATGGACAAGCCCAACATGATTCCAGCTTTGACTGGTCACCTTGTGTTTCTCCAGCTTAAGTTTGGTAGCAGTTTACAGCTATGGTCAATTTGGGGTTGCTTCACTGTCCCCTGTTGATCTTCTAGCCTTTATAGTCAATTTTCTACATTAAATTCCTTCTGTTTTAAATACTCAAAGTGGTTTCTGATTCCTAATTGGATCTTGAATGATACAACTGATGTACAAGTTAATTGTCATCTATTGAATCACAGCTTCTTTTAATTTTATACAGAATCCCCTAATTTTATAATAAAAATAACAATAGCTAATATGTATAGAGAGAGTACTTTATAAGTACCAGGTAAAAGTACTAGTAAGTCACTAAACAGAGGACAGCTACAGCTTTAGCCTCCCTTGGCAGCAGCTGTGCTGCACCCCCTCAGAAGTACCAGCTGCCCTGGGCTCCTTGGTCATCCAAATACTGTGCACTTGGTACTCCAACCAAAAGTCTGAGAACCACTTGTGCACCCCTGAGATGGAGATGAGACTTCCTCCAAGCTCCAGCTTCTAGGTCCTCCCCCAGAGACACCTCTTCTCTTTAGGGTTCCAGCCTGAGGGGTGGTATCTGCTTCTTTCAGTAATTATCTGATTTATCTCAACATCCTGGCTTCTAACATCTGGGTAACAAATCTCCTGTATTCATTCTCCTTTGGTTGAAATATCTAGCATAGTTAATGTTACTATGAGTAGACCTTGACTGATACATAGGTTCTTCTACCTTAATTCCAGTAAGTGTCCCATTGATTCTAAAAAAATTGGCATTTACAGTCCATTTATTTCTATATTTATTTCAACTACACTAAGTTTAGGAGTTCTTATTTATACAGCTACTTTTAATTTCCCTTTTTTTTTGCTCTTTTTTAAAAATAAAATAATAAGAACAAAAACAAACATTGTGAAATAATTGCATAAATACTGTTTACAAGCATAGCAATACTGCTGAAACAATATTTGACTGGCAGGCAGTGACTATGTGATATTTTAAATGTTCATCTGCAACTGATGCATGAAAGATACACTTGGCACTTGGCATGCAAAGGGTGATTGAGAGATACGTGAATGCTTAACAATTTAAAAATTGAGAACCTTATGCATTTGCTTTCTTGCAAAGAAAATATAGAACTCTACTGGCAGACGCCTACTGCTAGTGTGATTAGAATACTTTTATTGGCAATCTTGATCTTATAACCATGTGCCAGACAGATTACTTTTTATGTTATAAGTAGGCAGAAGTGAAAATCAAAATTCCATTCATAGCCTGTTTATATATGTGGTAGACAGAACTCTAAGATGGTCCTCTAAGATTTCTGCCCTGTGGTGCACAACCCCATCCTTGAGTATGAGTGAATCTGTGAATATAATGGATGTCACTCATATGATTATATTACATCATATGACAGAAGGGATTTTGTAGGTGTAATTTTATTCCCTAATTAGTTGACTTTGACTTAAAAAGGAGATTATCCTGGTGGGACAGACTTAATTGGATGAATCCTTAAAAGGGCTCCTGAAGCCAGAGATTCAAAGTATAACAGAGAGGACCTTTGGAAGCGGACTACATGGCATGGACCTGAGAGTGGTCTCTAGTAGCTGAGAATGTTCCCCAGAAAACAGACAGCAAGAAAATAGGGACCTCAGCCCTACAACCACAAGGAAATGAATTCTTCCAACAACCTAAGAAAGCTTAGAAATGCATCTTTCCTTAGTCAAGCTTCCACATAAGGACTCACTTGGTTGACATCTTGACTTCTGCTTTGTATGACACTAACCTGTGCTGGACTCCTGACCCACAAAACTGGGAGGTAATAAATTTGTGTTAGGTCATCAAGATTGTGTAATTTGTTACTCTGTAATAGAAAAATAATACAATCAATGAAGGAATCAATATAAGTAAATTCCATTTGCAACAGCAGCAAAATCCATAATGGCCCCAATAAGAAATATAAGAAATATATAAGAAATGCATTAATAATTCAAGAGGAAAAGAAGTAAAACATTTGAACAGAAAATATGCAGACCATTTAGAAATCTTTGGGAAAGACCACCCTGGAAATAGCATCCAGGACCCTAAACTAACCCATAATCTTTAACTAGAACTAAGGTCTATAATGGTAGAATAGGCCTAACTTTTAGGCCAAGCAAACACAACTGGACCGAGATGATAAAATTCCAGAGTTGGTAGGATAAATGACTTTGCAAACCCACAGAGGTAGAGAAGTAAGCACAAACCCATAGTGGGAGAACTTTTGTGATAATTTGAGGACCTAGGAGACAGGGTATGTGAAAACCCTCTTTATGTTCTCTCTCTCTCTCTCTCTCTCTCTCTCTCTCTCTCTCT